CAGAGATCGGTATGCGTCACGCGCAAGTTCAATCTTGACGCCGCAAGTAGCGGGAACGAGCGGTGTGCTGGCATTCTCCATCGCCATGATATTGGGATGCACGCGATGCACTTGGGTTCGTGGAAGAACCTGCTGTCGTGAAGGGGGCAAGGAAGGCGACGCGACAGCGCAGATGTGCTCTCTTGCTCGGACATGGTTGTGGCGACCAGTTGTCTTCTTCCAGTGTACTCTACCCGTTCTTGCGACTGCCAGCAGAGTGCATACCTGATGCGACCGCCGACCGCAGCGCGACGGACGCAGCTGCACGCACCCGTCGTGGGCGCGCAGATCTATGCACCGTAGATTCGCGCCGACAATGCAAGCATTCGCATGTGCTCTGCCACTTCCTGCAGTGCAGAAGCACTCACGAGTAGTAGCCAAGCCCTTTGAGAGATGATGATACTTCCGATCACGGGAAGAAACGTCGACCGAGATAATTATATGCAGCGTCACCAAGTCCGCCTGAAGCTTGTAGCACACAGATTGATGGGTGGTCGCAAATAGGCAGGCGTGAAGGATGATGATTGATGATAGGCGAGACGGCCCAAGGTACCCATCGACTAGAGCGCGTGACCGCATGATAGGCTCTTCTCGCCGTCTGTGCTGCCTGTAGGAGTCGGGTTGCCCTACCTACCGATCATACTTCCTTCGACGTCGTACGACGACCCATACTTTATAGGAACGTGTTTCGCGTTATCTAGGTTGTCACAACGGCTTGGTATACTGCGTAGAGACTAGCGAACTTCTACTTCTTCATTCGCTCGCCGGGCTATAGCAGCGCATCTTGCTCTTCTCTAGACGCCCGGGGGCACTTGCGGCCGCGAGTGAGGTCCATGACGATGCGCTTCGTACAGTCCTTCGAGGCTCGCGATCGACAGCAATGCGGCGCGGGATACTGAGGCCATCAGCAGACACAACCGACTGAGGCGGCGTCAGCGACTGAAGGTCCCGGACGATCGGCTACGTGATCTTCGTGCGGCCTACAGAGCAAGGCGCCGCATCGGGGCGAAGGAACGGGCAGCGGCAGCGTTGGCGGGGACATCGACCTTCAGGCGCAGCACGTGGCCCAGCAAGCGCCAGCGTTGGCGGGCAACTATCTCGCTCAGCGGGACGCACACTAACTAAGCTAGATTAAATTGAAATATTGAATTCTGTCGATGCCCAGTCCACCGATGGAAGCATTGATGTCGTCAAACTATCGCTCTCAGCACCAAGTAGCGCGTCACAGTCTTCGCCAAAGAGCGGCGCGTCACAGAGAAGATCCAATATCGAGGCATCGAGCGCGGTCTCTTCGCAGGCAAAAGGCGGTGCCGAGTCCTTGAGGGCGGCAAGGGTCATGAGGTTGGCGACTTTAGCGCCGACGCGCAGCAGCTCAGCGTTGATGTGGTCCGCCAAGTCGACCTTCTTGCCGACAGGAGGCGTCCCACTCGTGCTAGGTCGGGCCGTGTGGCGCCGGCAGTAGCCACTCGCACGGGCGTGCACGTCGCAGCCATTTTCCTTGCACGTGCGGCCGCCACCGTGTCGTACACACTTGTACCGGGCGTGCGCTTGGCGACTGCAGCCCGGTTCGGTGCAGTAGCGCTTGACGACGACACCGCCGTGACTGACGCAAAAGGCCCCTCGGTGCACGGGCGCGTCGCAGCCGCTGTACTCGCACTTCTTTTTGCCGCCATGTCGAATGCAGAGGTAGCGTGCGTAGACTTGATTCTTGCAGCCCTCAAAGGTGCATTGGAGCTTGTTGCGATGCGTGACGCACTTGGTCGAGCCGAACCGAGGCGGCTGGCTGCAGCCCGCAAACGAGCAAACGTCCAGCACGGAGGTCATGTTGCAGTGTTGATGGCGCGGGTACTTGGTGCAAAGTCGAAAAGTGCACTCTCGGCGCTCTCGACGATTTCTTGAGGTCGACTCAGAGGCCCGTTTTGCAATCGCAGCATCTGTCCCCCGAAGCCAGGTGGTGTTCTTTGAGCGAATCGCAGCGTCGTAGAATGATGGTCGTTTGTCGCGATAAGCGCAATCCAGCAAACTATCCATCCATCGACTCCATGGCTCGATCGGCGCATGGACCACACAAGGCGTGTGATGGAATATCGCAACAAGAGATGTGCTCAAGTCGACAAAGGGAGAGATCCATGTTGTTTTGTTCATGCGTGTGCGTGCAGCTGCCCAGCTCGAATCTTCAACAAGTAGCGATTGCAAGACGGACATGATGTGCTACTGCTTGCGATCGTGGAAGGCTGCACTCGCTGCGGATCCAACTTGTATCGGCGGAACGACAGACACCCAGAGACATGGTTCGGTGTGCGAGAAATGACACGTAGGTATTCGCTGCATAAATTGAACTCGATGATTTGCTACCTCGAGATGGAGCACAACGGAGCTTCGTCGAGAAGAGAGCTCCACGGAATGCCGGGCTGTCCCTGCGACATCGACGCAAGCGACTCGCAGAGCAAGGTCAGGATCGCATTGTCGATCGCATGGTACAAAATTTCGTCGTCCATGGACTCATGGTTTTCGGACTTCTCCAGCGGCGCAGGCGTCGCAAAAAAGGGCAATGTCACCCCGATAGGTTCCTCTCGCTTGGTACTGACGCTGTCCGTGGCATGGCGCCGGCAGAACCCGCCGTACCGAGCATACATGGGGCACCCTCCCTTGTGTCTGCAGCCGCGGCCGCCTCCATGGCGCACGCACTTGTAGCGGGCATGGGCCTGACTGTGGCAACCAGGCTCCGAGCAAAGACGCTTGGCAACGCCTCCGCCATGGTCGGTACAGAACGAGCCGCGGCTTACGGACGCGCGGCAGCCGGGTGTCTGGCACTGCTTCTTGCCACCGTGTCGAACGCAGAGGTACCGGGCGTAGACCTGGTTGTGGCAGCCGTCGCGCGAGCACTTGAGCTTGTTCTTGTGGACGAGACACTTGTTGGCGCCGGGCATCGCGTGGCGGCTGCACTCGGTAAAGGTGCACACGGTCGACGGCAGCATGAGAACACGCGTGGCTGCCCACCAAGTTGAAAAGTGGGGCAAACGAAAAGCGCTGGAACTATCAAACGCGATGATTGCCTGTGGGAGCACTGGCACCAAAAGCCAGCGTCCTTCAACGATTCTGACGATATACACTATTCCACCAATCCGCGTCGCGGTCTCGGGATGTGGTCGGCGCGCTTGGCATTGATGGGCCGCAAAACCCGAACGATCGCTGGGCGGAACGCGAGCATTACATCGCGCTATTGCACGTGCAATCGGAACGAGATTATTTCCGTCTCCATCTCTCTTGCAACGTACAGGCGGCTCCTCCTCAGTCTCATCCACGACGATGCAAGTATCGGTAACAAAAGCCACCCATCAACTTGTGGGATCGCCGCCACGTGCGAAAGCCGTGATCACCCAACGACGTTGGTCCTCGCTCCGTGGTGCGAGTGCAAGCCTCGTTGTTGTTGTTGAAGTGAGTCTATTTGTTACGTAGGTACATATATTTTACACTGAACTGTTTTTGGGGGTACTCCAAGCATGTTGCGACGGACGGTAGCGACTAGGCGTAGCCGTCGCGGAGGCAGGCGTCTGGGAGTGCAAGCCTCGTTCACCTGGCGTCAACTAGTGTACGGACCACTCTCCAGCGGAGACGGCCAGAGCCAGCGGAGATGGCCAGAGCCAGCGAAGGCCATCCTCGCCCTCTAGGCACCTCGCCCTCTAGGCACGTTCAAATACCTACTAATATGGAACGATTGGCCAAGCTATGCAGCCCGATGCCGGATTCGGTGTCGACTACGCTCTTACAGAACTACGTCTTTCTACCAAGGGTTGAGCACGGAGGCAGTTTGACTCGATTTCATCAAGTGGGTAATCGATATTCTCGAGGCTTATAGGCGCCTCACGAAGGGCGGTTGTCATCGCACACCGTTGTGATAGTAACAACACTCGCTGGGTAGTACGGTAGTAACATTAGTGGTGTAGTGATATAAATACAAGCTTCTTCTAGTCGAATGTCCTACTAGCACAAGAGCTGCAAGACGTCCATGTCAATAGGGGCAAATAGCGAGCGCGACGGCTCAAACGGCATGGGCGTCACTGAAGCGCAGAGCAGAAGCGTATACTCGTCGACCGCCTCGAACGATTCTGTCCGTGTCGACGTGTGCGCGTCACAGTAGCCAGAGAGGCGTGCGTGGCTGCCACATCCGCTCAGCTTGCACTGCCGGCCACCACCGTGGCGCACACACTTGTGGCGCGCATGGGCTTGGCGATGGCAACCTGGTTCGGTGCAGAAGCGCTTGGCGGCGACGCCGCCGTGCTGAACACAGTACGGGCCGCCGCGAGCAAAGGCGCGGCAGCCAAGCGACTTGCACTGCTTCTTGCCGCCGTGGCGGACGCAGAGGTACCGGGCGTAGACCTGGTTGGGACAACCCTCGATCGAGCACTTGATCTTGTTCTTGTGGGATGCACACTTTTCCGTGCCGGGCACGATCGGCTTGGCACAGTCGGCAAAGAGGCACGTGATCTCGAGGCTCGACATCATTTTCATCCAAAGTAGCAAATCGCAAAGTACGCTCGCTACCCAAGCTTCTTCTTGTCCATTTTACGACGCGTGTCTGGATGTTGTGCATGCTTTTGCAACCAAGACGCTGCAACGCGCCGAGGAGGAGGATCTGGCAACGGCTGGCACTTGAGACAGTCGGTAAAGAGACGCCGTGCGGTGCTGATGCGTTGCATGCCGTCTTGAAGCGATGGGTACAACAACACACCATATGAAAGACTACCTGGGCTGTGGCTGTGGACGATCGAGTCAGGTCGCCAACTGCTTTCCTGCGCCAGAGATGTCCATGCATGGTTTACTACGCTGGCGCGTCACGCCGTAGCTCATGCCTGTAGCACAATCTTTCGTACCCCATGCTAGGGCACGGCCACGGGCTCGCATAATATCACGCAGACTATTACGTGGCGCGTCGTATGCGCTGCATCGAGTCGACGCTCGCAAAATTTCAAGCGGCAAATGTAGGTGGAATGTTGGGCACTGAGGCAGGGTACCCACAACCGTGCTCTATGACTTCCTTGGCACCGAGGTATGCCCTGATGCGTAGATAGTCCTTGAGCAGCGAAATGGGCGTCACGGGCGTTAACAACCGCACATCTAGTGGTATGCTATCAAGAAAGGGGTACCAATCCCACCACATGGCGCGTTACGCCATCAAACCTCTACAAGAAAAAACCGTGTCGAGGCGAATGGCCACCAAGACACTAAGCAACTCGAACACATCGTGGCCATCTGCAGAACGCTGTATTATGAATGCAAGGTATCAGTCAGCAATACCGTCGACAACGTCGCACAAAGGTGGATCGCATGTGATGCTGCAGTGCCACTGCGCAACCGCAATCCGAGGTTAGAAATTTGTGGCTTGTCCGGCAAGCAGGAGCACGTTGCACGATGTCCTACAATATCTCTGTGATAGAGCGTTTTTGCGTGATAGATTGTCTGCTGCATCGCATGCTGGGTCAGGGTGCGCTACGCAGCGTGCGTTGAAAGCTATAGTTGACAGCAATGACCGCTGTACGAAGAGCGAGTCGTGCAGAGTATGTCTTAGATGATGACGATGCGGAGGTGCGGGCAGTAGAATGCGTCATGATGCACTGGCTACTGTGCGACAGTGTATTAGCGTGCTTTTGTTGTCCCAGCCGCGGTAGCGCTTGCACAAAGCGAGGGCGTTTATATAGATGTAATGTGTGATGACTACGAAATTGCATCCGCGCTTCTACTTTTGGTTGCTTTGTGAGATATTTGTCTGGACGACCCTTTTTTTTCTGGTTTGATGATTCTCGTCTCGGCCACATGTGGTGGAAACGGTGACGTTAAAATACATATGTGGTGCACATTGTGCGGCCAGGAACGCTCGGAAGAAGTACCGACACTGTTTTGTACACCTTTTTGCGATATGCAGCATACTGTAGCAAGCACACGCGCTGTTTTCTCCACCATCCGTTGAGAACATCGAAAGCATATTTTCGCTCTGCATTTTAGACAGGGCAGCCCCACCTTGGGCACCCTGGGTCTTCTCTCCTTCGTGCTTGGCGCTTGTTTGCGAACGAGATGCAGCGGTAGTGGAGGCATCAAACCTTGAAGGCTACATCATTTGAAAATGCTAGCTCTCTGAGCGCGAACTCGCCTTTGTTGAGCTCCACTAAACACTCGGACGAGAAAAAGACTATATAAGGAAACGACGTCGATCGTCCGGGGCGACTTTAGTTGCCGCCACGGTATGTGTCCGACCCTACACTGCACTGTATCTTGAAATGTCCATTTGTTTCGTGGAACCCGCGTGGGGAATTGTTTGATGACCGAAACGACGAAAAGCAGCTTTCAGACTTGCTGAATCGTGCAGCAGGGTGTGACGGCGAAGACGAGAAGTGTGCGGGAGTGTCGTACACCCTCCGTGCCCATTGTTGTCAGCACCAAAGCGGTTGAATGTCTGCGCTCTGGGCATTGCAAGTATCGACCACCTCCTTTCCAACATGTCGCTCAATTCCACAACACCAAGCCTTCGTTGATGCTACACATCATTCATAGCCAATACTTGTACGCAAGTAGCCTTCGATTGCCGTCGCGCCCTTGAAACAGCCACCGTAGTGACGTCGCAAAGCGTTGAGGGGTTTTGCAGCAAGTACCAAACAAGTCCCGGACGGATCGGAGCACAGTAATCGTCGACGTGAGTATTGGGATCGGCGGCAACCGGTTCGACATGAAGGACAAGCGTCCAGCGCATCTGAAATCGCGATCAAAGGTGCCCAAATGTCTGGTGGTGGTGTCGCATTGGTTGAGCAGGTGCTTGTACTCGAGAAACGAGAGCTAGGACACAGAAGAGGCACTCTACTGGCGCCAAGAACTGCCGCCGTTCGCTGAGCCACTCGATTTATACGGTCTTCATACCACCAGCATTTGCGAGGTCACAAATGAGTATTACCAGCACAGAACGGTGCTATCTTCTAGTACCTCCGTGCGTGACGCTGACGACTAGAGCAGACCCCGCCTCCTGCTACGCAACGAGCTGTGCCGACCGCCCAGCTCTCAGCGCCTGTCATGTCCATTCTTAACAAGTCGAGAGCGCCAGGCCCACGAAGGGACCGCCGAACCTTGGACGCATGGCAACGCGTTTTGACGCTATTCCTTCCCTTCCATTTACTGGACGGGAGCCTTATGTCGCGTGTGTCTGCGAAGGGACGATGGCGGTAACACTCGACAACGCACCATCACTCTGCTGGAGGTGTCAGCAGGCGTTGTAACAGGGCTACGTGGCAATGATTTGTAGCAAGCCTGCACCCATGATGTCCCGTGAGCCCACTCTCGTGCGAAGTGGCACGGCCTGCGGCAGAGCCCACGCCTCGAGCCGCTCGTCAGTCTCACGAGTACGTCCAGTCGCTCGACGCGCGGCATGTAAGGTTCACTGGCTTCGTGCTTCGCTTATACCACTGGACCACCACTTCTGACAGTAGGACGTCTT